AATTGATAGGACCTGACCCAATTTTTTAATTGTTAAAATTAATTGAATCAAACCAAAATTTTTTTATTCAAATCGATCCAAACCGATTTGATTGATTTTTCGGTTTTTTTTTTTTTTTGGTTGCCCACCACGAGGTAAAAAAGGAGTTTTGACATGATTGAGGTTAGAGTTGTGTTTGAGAAGGGTGGGTTGTATTGACTCATATGACATGTTTAGTGGAGTAACTTTAGCCTTCAATTTGATTAGAACGATGGGTGAAGATATTTTTAATTATTATTTTTCCTTCTTATATTATAGTATTTTTGGATTAAAAAAATTTGTAATGTAAAATGCGAAAATTGTCTAATTTAGCCCTTGTTTGATCATCATTATTTTCAAAATATATTTTTCTTTTTTGTTTTCAACTACACATTTTTCAATAAAATAATATTACACGCAAATTCAAAACTTTTTCTTAATTTTTTTTTATCACATATTCTCTATTAAAATAATTTTCCAAAATACATTTTGAGGAAAAAAGGGCTTAAACAAGTTCTATTGTATTGGGTTACATGTCATCTTTTTGCGAATTATTTTCAGCCCATTTCCATTTTCATTTCCATTTCTGAACATATATAATAGATCGATCCATTCAAATGCCAATAGGGATGGCGATTTGGCTTGTCAATGCGGGCCACCCATGGTTCAGCCTAGGAAAAGTCCAAACCAACCATGCTCAAGGCTCAAGCCGAGCTCGAGCTAGTCGTCTTGCCTGTCAGGTTGGCTAGTTTAAAAAGAAAAAAAGAAAAAAAAAAGGCAACTAATAGGCAACAATGTGTTATATTTAAAAAAAATCGAGCAGACTCGGATTCGTTAGGCTCAAGCCTCATTTATTGGCTGAACTTTTGCTTTGTTTAGGCCAAAAAAAGCCCAACTTAATTTTACTCAAGTCGAGCTCGAGTCTCGAGTTTTGGTTCGTTGACATCCCTAAATGCCAATGAACACCATTGGAGCCAATGCTTCCACCAGCGTTAATAATAAAGTTTTCCTTAGCATAATAAGTTCTTCTACAGTATTATTATTTATCGATAAAAAAAAAATTCACTAGTAATTGAACTTTTAGTGATATATCAATTGAGTCATTGAATGATTATTATTACCATCATCATCATCGATTAGTTTACTAATATTCAATTTGTTTTAACATGACCCTGTTATATTTTGTGACCTATCACCCCAAAATTGGTGCACATCACTTAGTTGACGGTCATATTGGTATCATATAAATGAAAATGGTAAAACGAGAGATATAGCAATATCTTCAAAATTGAAGGTTAATATATACGTTATTTTTGGATCATTCTTGGGGTACATAATGGACACCATAATGGTGTCCATAATCCCGAGATGGCGCCTCCCCATTGGAGGAGGCATCGGGCCCACAGACGCCCCCTCCAATAGGGTGGCGTCACCTCGACCTTATGGACACCATTATGGTATCCATTATGTACACTTAGAATATTCCGTTATTTTTTATGTTTAATACTTTTACAATGTGTCATGGTGGTAAGTTGACACATTACCAACAATTATGTGCAAAATTCATTGCAATATGACTTCCAAGTAATGAAGTTTCATCAATTTAAGGGCGGCGTGTGAAGAAGTATTTAAATTGAAATTTAAAATAGAGTTGTGACCCATTTCAAATTAAATTGAAGTTCAGTGATACAATTGAAATGATTAAAACTTTAGTGACTGAGTGAGATATTGCTAAAATTTCAATAGTCATGAATGAAACTTACCCAATTATTTATATTTTAATCTTTTTTTTTTATTTTACAATTAAACTATAATCGTTTCAAGTATAGAATGAAATGTCCAATATTGTTTCCATTTCCCCTTGCTTGAAATGTATAATTGGAAAGTTTATAAAAGTTGTGGATCTAATGAAATGTGTATTGAGAATAAATTAAAGAAAAAATGAATTTTAGAAAACAGAGATCCAAAAAGGGCAAAAAAATTTTCCTTGAGCTAATAAGTACTGGCTTGAACCTTAAAAAATTCAAATTAGGTACGACAATATAGTGGGACGAATTAGAATGTCCATTAAAATCCCTAACTAGTTGAAAAGTTTTAAAAGTGGGTAGAGTTTAAAAATTCTCCATTACTGTACCCTTTTGATATGATTAGTCAGAGTTGAATGTATATTGCACGTTATTCAAAAATACTTTATAAGTACTGTAAAAAAAAATATTTTATCCCAATTTGTTGAGAGGATTTTATGAATCTCAAACGAACTAAATAATATAAAATTTAGGATAGAAATTTAAGAAAAAAAAATTTATTCACAAAATTCGACTTTTATGATTCAAATTTTTTGTGATGATTAAATATTACAAATGAGCAATCTTTTTATACTACATTTGGTATATAAAAATTAATTGTTAATCCACAAATTTAAACACTCATTAAAATTCTTTAGATAGATGAATAAAAATAAATTCATATATAATAACTCTAGATTCATACGGATTAAGATTTTGAGTTATTCTATGAGTACATGGAAAATTTACAGAATTCATAAAAGATTTTGAAATGGAAAAATCCCGTCCGTCTATGTTTTATGTTTTTCTCATCTTTGAATGATATTTCGACAATTGTGTTTGTAAAAATTTTTTAATGCAAAAATCCTGTACTTGTAGCATAACTCTCAAGATTTATCAAGTCAAGATTTATTGAGTCAAAAGTAATGTGAATGCTAATTAATTGAGAATTAATGACAGGGTATTTATTACATATTGAAAAACGTAAAATATTATTGAAATAATTGAATTGCAGTAGGGTTAAAATCCTCTAAAAAATTATTCTCACTTAATGTGATATTTTAATATATGATAGATTATAGATTTAAATTGAAAAGTATAATAAAATTAAAAGAATCGGGACCGGTTCGAGGAATTTGGGGTGGGATCATGTTCCGTCCAACCTCGTTTATTATTCGAGATTGGGCAATATGGGACGAAAAAATTTTGCCATTCCTAATTGAGACCTATAGACAAAGTTGAATCTCAGTCTCGCATTGGGGGACAATCACACCAATTCATTTTCACGCTTGTTCAGGGCTAGATTCATTGGGAGTTCCAAAAGGAACTACAAATTGAAAACTAAAGTCTTTAATTAATAACAATTTTTTTTTGTTTTGTTTTTTTTTTATTTAAAGAAAAAAAAAGACACGAAAAGTTAAAAAAAGGAATTTAAGTCCAAACCAATCCAATTGATTTCAGTCCAGTTGCAATATTCTGTGCAGTAAATAAAAAAAGAGAGTTATTCCAGTGGTGCAAAGAAAATGGTAAGGTATACTCAATCTTATTGACAGTCGCAGTGTGAGGGTTTGATTCCTGAAACATGGATTGGACTCTTTGTGAGTACCAGTGTACAGACAGCTCTTGTTCCCTGACCTGTTGGGGCACATCCCGCGATTAATCTCTCTCATGATTCTTTAGGGGGGGGTGGGAAACCCTTAAAGTTGGGGTTCAACCTTTAATAAAAGAAGAAAGAGATGGAAATTGACATGAAAAAGGGTATCAAGTAAAGCTAGAAAAAGAAAAGGCAAGTGACTTGTCACAGGGATGTAAATGGATCTGATATGGATCGAATCTGCTCAAATTTGATTCGATTTGATAATTCAATGGATATTTGGTTATTAAATTCATATCCGATTTAATATGTTATTGGATATTCAATCCGATAACCTGATTCAAAATTGAAAAAACTACCTAGAAACCCACTTTTAAACAATAGTTTTGAGAAATAAAAGGAATTAATTTTCATTTCACAAATCAGGTGGTAATTAGAAATTATCAAATTAATTAATACATATTTAATAATAGAAAACATTTTATATAGTCATCCCAGCCAAAACCACCCACCCACTCAAATCAATCTTTTTCTCTCTCAAACCTTCTCTGTTGTCTTTAAGGAATTGATAAAAATGGAAGATTCTTGAATTATAAATCTCAGAAATTTCGAAGTTAAGCGCCATTGATGGGACCCATAACAACAAACCTACACCCATGACTTCACCACCCCCATTCCGCAACTACTGTAGCCATGGGTTTCTATCAATCGAACCCAAATTTGATTCAGTTGTGTGTTCTTCTAATTTATGCTGGTTTTTTCTTTCTAGTTGATGGGTTTATTGTAGTCCGATTGTGAATTTGTAGTGTGGCGGTGCTAATTTGGATTTTATGTGGATGTGATGATTGTTATGGTGGCACTGAGGCTATATAGGATGCTTATTGTTCTAGAGTTGGTGGATAGGAGGACGTGGTGGCGGGTTGTGGTGACGATGGTGTGTTATGACAATACGTTAGAGTAGATTTGTGTGTGTTATGGTGGTGATATGACAATGGTGGTTGTGGTGGTGATGAGGTGGCAAAAGTGTTTTGGATATAGATTTTTGCGGCAGTATTAAGGTGACTGATTTTTGTATGTGGTAGTGACGGTGGATATGGCGATTGGGACGATTTTTGTTGAATCTGGTGGTGGTGGTCTTGGTCGTGGTGCTGGTGTCAATGACGATGCTGTTAAGTTGTATTGGTGGTTGTGCGGCGTGGTGCCAATGGTTTCGATATTGGTAGTACATGTGGTTTTGGTGAAGTGGTGTACATTTGGTTGTCGACATTGGAAATGGTGGGCGCCCTGTCATGGGGTATGGGGCGGCGAGGGGCGAGGATGCCCCACCTTGGACCCCCCCTCGTGAAGGAAAAAATGATTAAAAATAAATTTATTTTGAGACAATTCATCTATTAAAAACTCATTTTAAATTTGTATTTTTTTATCTAATAATAACATAATTCGAAATTTTGAAAATATAAAAAAAAATAATAAAATTAAAAAATTAAATGAAATAACAAACGAGACAAAAAAATTATCCTGTCCCACCCCAAGCGTGACGGGAAGGGATGTAGGACGAGACGACATTTGGGCGAGACGGGGCAGGGTGCGTGCGCCAGCCACGAATCCGCCCGTTGACATGCCTAGACCCTTACCCGCTTGTAATTAAAACCCTTCGATCTTTTCATTCTCTCGTCACAGTCAAGCAAACAAGAGTATCTAAAAAAAACACATCGCCGGCGATTGAAATCGGATCTCGGAAGTGATGGCCGATCACGTTGAGGGGCATGAGAAACATGAATCGGCCGCTGAATCGCTGATTGATAAGATAACTGATAAGTTTCACGGCGACAATTCAACGTCGTCGTCGTCAGATTCGGATGGCGAGAAAGACATCAAGGAGACTGCCGCTGCGGTTAAGGCAAAGATCTATCGTCTCTTTGGCCGCGAAAAGCCCGTGCACAAGGTTCTAGGCGGTGGGAAACGTAAGAATTTGATCTGTAACTTGATATTTTTTTTACACTTTATGTTTTGTAAACTATCATAACATTTGAGTAGGGCATTTGATAGAGATTAAAATGCACGTATGAAGAGGGCACTGCAATTGAGTTTTATGAGTTGATATTTTGAATTAGGAATTTTTTTGAGAATATACCTTTATAATCTTTTACAGGTTTGTTGTTATGGTGTTAAAATAGTTCCGATCTTCTGTATTCCAAGTATGGATGTTGATCTCAATCGTGGGAAACATGTCAGCTCAATTTCTTTTACATTGTTGTAGTCTTTATGTTAGCGTATTTCGTGTTCACTTTATATTGGAAAATGCTTTAATTATTTCAATATATTGGAAAATGCTTTAATTATTTCAATTTTATTTATATTTTGTATAACTTGAGTTGTTCTGTCTGTTCATGTTTTTAGTATTTGATAGTGATGGAAGCATGAAAAATTATATATTTTTTTACAAACAGATGACTTAAAAAAGTGTGCATTCGAATGTTGTAACGTCTAAATTTGAAAATGTATCCTTGTAGTTTTGATTTATTTCTTTTGCTTGTCTCGCCGTTCTTCTTGGATACAGGAAGCATGGGTTGTGTGTGCTGTGGAATGCATAGGGGCTCAGAATATATTTAGGAAATATTGTTATTGTTACATGTCTTGATTTTTCTTTTCTTGTTTATTATATGATACTTTTGTGTCTGAGTGCTTGATTAGAAAGAGCGAAAGGATTGCAAGCACTAATTGAAAGAAAAATAAGGTCTAAGAAGCACGTTGTAGAGTCGTAGACATCCCTTTTTCTTGCATCACTTGGTTAACAGTTAAATTGGTCCCTGGAAAGCTGGAGTTGTCATTTGATCTTTTATGCAAATGTACAGTTCTTTTGTACAGTATGTATTGTTGATATTACCATTATGATTTTCTGGCAGCTGCTGACATTTTGCTATGGAGGGACAAGAAGATATCTGCTGTGGTGCTTGGTGTTGCCACAACAATTTGGGTGCTTTTTGAACTGCTTGAATACCATTTGCTCACATTAGTATGCCATATTCTAATTCTGGCTCTTGGAGTTCTTTTCCTGTGGTCAAATGCATCCATCTTCGTCAATAAGTACACATTCTAAGGAATACTTGGTGT